AACATATATGATAGACGTCCATGTCTGCATTTGTTATTAAATATGAGGATCAGCATCTCAAATCCCTGTGTGGCGATGCAATTTCCTCTCACTGCAGAACACACAGGGGCTTATCGTGCTCATATGAAGACCCGGACCTCATATGTGGCTCCATGCTTCAGTCTGGAGAAAAAGTGCTTTCATATCACTTTTTATGGTTTCATGCTTCATGACAGATAAATATCCTGTCGGAAAACTATGAATCAGCAGTGTTGAAAGTAACCTTGGGGTCTGCGGCAGGAAGACGGGGGCTGTCTGATTGAAATATTGATTGACTCGATATTTCTCCAGGAAATCAGCCTCTAAAGATGTGATGGTTATCGTCAATGTGAAACTACCTAATGTTTTATTTTCCTATATATAAAACAGAGGTATACTTTAAAAATGTAATCCTTTAGAATTACTACACTGAAAAATCTGAAACATTGACTTTAATTAAATGTATAACTGTATTATGTGAGTTGAAAGCAATAATATTAAGTTTAAATACAAAATATTAGGTTCAATTTAAGATTATTCCTTTCAACTAACCTAATACAGTTGTGTGAAATTTGTTGACATAATACATTTAATTAAAGTATTAAAGTGTAGTTACTCTGAGCATAGAAATATAAGAGTAATGTAACCTGATTACTTTCCGTACCTTTTTGATTATCTTGACATCAAACGCAATGCAAATAAATAAGAGATAACAGTAAGATGTTTTTTACTGAAGTGTATTATGTAAGACAACAGAACAATGTAACCTTAAACAAGAAACCAAGATATTTAGTATAACAAATGTGTCAATTAAGGCTCCACTTACACACTAAACAGTGTTTTAGTTTGATCAAATCAGGTGTCAACCTACTGCATTCAAAAATATATTTAAAAAAAGAAGAAGGAAGCAGCCTAAATGAAAACCAACATGGAAAATTCAGGCAGTACGTCCAAATATTGATCTTTGTTGATACATTTTTATCCTGCTCGTAATCCAATTTTTTTTAATTCAACAGTAATCTGATTACATCTTTCCTCAATGTAACTGTATGGGAATACAGTTTTTTTCGTATCCTGGTTACGTAATCCCGTTACATGTAATTCCCCTAGCCTGTATATAAAATACCCTTATCATAAGGATGTGTAATTGGATATTAAGATTTACCAATTAAGTAGTTGCACTCTGGGTACCTTTAAAATAATGAAAGCTAATGATTTCAGTATGCTTGGGGGAAGATCCTAACTGGTATTCCATAGAGGCTGAGCCAACTCATCTGAACATGAAGCCATTATGACACTCGCAGAATGATCACAGCTCCATCCCTTCTAGTGGCAGGACAATGGTCCGCTGCAGAGGGGGCGGAGGTAATGGATGATGCTTTGTCAGCCAGATTCAGAGACATGTAATTGCCGCAAGCCTTTAGTTAATAACAAAAATGGCCTCAGTCACATTAAGTGTACAGTGTCCATCTGCAGCCTGGGAGCCTGTCTCTGAAACCTGGGAGAGAAACATCAAACCTGGGCGGAGCACAAAGAGGACGCATTTAAGTAAGTCATATTATATTTCTCTTTTTATTCAGGCAGTGTAATCAAGTAGATTGAATCAAGTTCTGTACATGAGTAATTCTCCTCTTCCACATTTGAAAGCCAATATTTCTTACCACGGATTAGGATTCACACAGTGGTGGAAAGTAACTACATTTACTCCAGTACTGTTCCTACAGTAAGTACACATTTGAGGTACTTGTACTTTATCTGAGTATTTTCATTTTATACTGCTATTCTTCTACTGTACTACATTTTGGAATCCAAACTGGTACTTTTTATTCCACTACATTTGTTTTAACTGTTGTATTTACTAGTTACCTTATAAATATATATTTTGACACACAATTCATTTAATTGGAACAGAAAATTATTTGGTAGAAATATTGTTAGGAAGTTTTTTGTTCAAAAATATAACACAGTTCCAGATTCTGAAGACTTGATGCTTTTGCTTTCAAATATTTAAAAATAGTTTTTAAATGAGTAATTTTACTTCTAATACTTCAAGTTCATTTGACTTATAATACTTCAAGAACATTTTCCTAATCGTACTTATACCTTTTACTTTAGATTTTAGCACCATTCTGGATGCAGTACTTTTACTATAAATTGAGTATTTTTAGAGTGTATAATTATGAATTGTACTCAAGTAAAGAATCTGAATACACTTTCCGACACTGGATACAGATTATAAGACAAAACTCAAATATAAATAGACTAATAAAGGAACTATGACATTGAGGTGAGGGTGTCCTGCAGCAGTATACACAGTAACGAGCAGCTGTGATGAACACTTTGATGCATCAGTCGTCATGCAAACATATTATGTTGATTTAAGATATATGATTCTGAAATGGGCCACAACACGTAACAAGTACTTTTACTTTTGGTAGTTTAAGTCTAAAAGGATGGCAGCACTTTTGTATTTTACTTGGTCAAGAATTTGAATGCATGACTTTTAGTTGTAACAGAGTATTTTACAGTTTTTACTTTTTCTAGTAAAGAGTACTTCTTTCCCATCTGCATTCAGGCTAAAGGTGTGCTCTGCCTCGGGGCACCCCATCATCAAAAAGCTACACATCCACTGCAAATATTTTTAAAACATAACTGCTGCATCTGAATATACTTTATATGACCAAACTAGTTTATTTTATGATTGTTATTATCGCCGATTTCCTGAATTTACATTTAAGAACATATTCAAGTCCTTTTTTCTGTGTTGGATCAGTGAGACAGAGGGGGGGGCATCATAAATGCTGATTCTCATTCAGCCCTCAGGCTCACTTTCAGGATCCATTTTGATCTTCAGCAAACAAGTATGAGCTCTTTAAATCACATGATTCAGACCGCAGCAATTGATTCATCAACTTATTGTCTGATTGGTTTCCTGACAGCTTCCCAGATCCTCTGACTGATCGCTTCACTTCCTGCCTGGAGGTCCGACTGTGGAGTGTGTGCTCTGACAGTAGGGTGTGTGTGACCTTCACACACTCTGCTGGTCAGTCAATACACTGCAAATAGCATCTTTAAACAAGAACAAAAGATTTGAGTAGATACAGATTTCAAACAAGAGCCAGTGCTTTGAGATAAATGCACTTAGTAAGATTTATTGGAATAAGAAATATATTTGGATTCTATAGAAAAGTGACACATTTGTCTTGAAATAAGCAGGAAGAAAACACATAATAAGATTAATTTGCCAAATATAACCATTCGTACATTTCTTAATTCAAGAAAAAATATAATCAGAACTTTTATTCGTAGAATTAGAAAAAACATCTGGATGCTAGAAAAGTGGCAAATGTCTTGAAATAAGCAGATTCCAAGCACAGTTATAATCCAAATATACTCTAAACTATTTGAATTGAATATCAACATGCAATGTGCTGACATGTTGCAGGACATCTCATTGATTTGAAGATCATTTACAATGACAGACATTAGTACACATTTGTAAATAAACAGTAATTACAAAGATAAACAATTAGCCTCGTAGGGCTCTGAGTCTTCTGCATGTATTACATATTGGTGAATGTGCAGTGGTGAAAATTGGAAACAGAATTTGTGATTAATAATGCTTCTTGTTTTACCATGTGGAATTATTTGTATGATTCATTTCCTTTTGCACATTCCTGATTCCATTGTAGGGTCTGTCATTATGCAACTGGAGCTCCAAAGGAAATGCTGCCACCTGCTGGAGAAAGACTGAACTGCAGCGCAACATGGAACAGCTAATGATGAACTGATAAAAGAATACAGAGAATGTATTGATGTCTACTGTATGTTTGTACATGTAGAGTCATATGGCTTTCAGCATGATTTTTCGACGTAACAACGTAAAAGCCAGTAATAACTGTGGTATATACAATATTTATCCCACTTATATTGGTAGTGCAGCATGTTATTTTCCTTGAGTTAAAAATATAATATACGAAAATAAAATAAAAAGATGATAACAACAACATTATAAAAGTAAATGAACCTTAATGACGTAGCAGCCATAATAACATATTATATTAGATAAGATATACTTACTACACTATTAATTATATTATCAAAGCAGAATGTTAACAGGAATTACACATGAGTTAAAACATACAATACAATTCATATAGAATAAAACATAAAATGTAATATATATAAATTATAAATATGTATATTATAAAACAGTGTTATTCTACAAGTGTTGCTACTGTAATAACTTGTGCAAAGTAGCTAGTAAAAAATAATAATTGTAAAACCATGTTTATTGCACATAAGAAGTGTTATTGCACAACAATGTGTTCCAGTCTGTTCTGTATGGTGACCGTGAAACTCTGAACTGTATCTTGATGAAATCGTTCTTCATATCATCCCTGCTGCTGTTGTTGCTGTTGTTGCTGAGTCCCCCCCCCCCCCCCCCCAATAACATCCCAAAGTTCTGACTTTAAGAATAAATAAAATGTTCCCTTATAGATAATTCGCAGGAAGAAGATTTTTTTTTTAAGTATAATATTTATCTTCATAATTAAAAAAATAGTGAGACTTGGCTCATAGAATATCTTATGAAAAGTCCCAATATTTCAATTCACAGGAGTATGAAATACCACAAAACATTTATGTAGGCTATGCTATGAGGGTTTGGTGCATAAAAGGGTCGAATACAGAGCAGCGGAACTCAGCAAAAGTAAGGCGAGGTGCAATATTGAGAAAGGTACCTTTCACAGTTTTCTTGACTGTATTCTTTACACAGCCTTGTGACTTTACTCCAGGTGTAACTACATTCTGATTTATTTTTCATAAAGTGTGAATGGAATATTAGAAAAACGATTGATCTGAATCTGAACTGGTTATTAAATAAATACGGTCAACAATTTTATATCCATGAGTTAGACAAATCTGATCCATGACGTAGTTAGTTGCAGTTAGAGCAGACGTGAGTAATCAATCCCAGAGCTCAGGCAGGGCAGAGCAATGTTTTCATTCCTCCTGACGACCTGCGCTATTCTCTATGGCGCCCGTGATGTCGCTGATTAAGGAGGGGACATCATAGCATCGTGTTTTTATTCGCTTCAGTCACAAGTATCCTCTGCGTTTTGCTACCCCTGGTTTGAATTTAATTATACATTTATTGCTGAATCCGCCATGACCGTGGAGCAGAATGTCCTTCAGCAGCATTCTCAGAAGGTAAGCTTCCAGAAGCTAACTTGGTAGCTAGCTTACTTTAGCCTAGCTGTGCAGCTATTTAGGTTTATGGCTCAGTTTTCTCACAGAGTTGGTCAGCAAACTTCTCTGTTAGTTGAGTTAAAATATAATTGTTTGTTTTTTTAGTGGCCTAGGGCGGTTGTTGAGCAACTGTTTGTAAATTGCAAGTGTTTATATTCAAGCTAGGCTTTCCGCTCCCTTAGCGTACGCCTTATCCAATGTTTTGCTGCCAGCCAACGTTAGCTAATGGTACCATTGAGCTAACGCTAACGTGAAGTTTAACATTAGCGCTGATGTGTAAGTTGGGTAACTTTAACGATAACTTGCAGTTTATACATATTCATTCAGATGCTACTTCCCTTTTAACACTAGTATCATGGGCTAAGTGTTTCCTCAGGTGAAATAAACAAGGCCAACTGACAGGGACATATGTTATTATGTTAATGCCGTCAACTTAGCAGCATCCTTTCCACCAACGATGATGTTCAGTTTGGAGGAGTGGATACTCCGTGTTTGTGTGCAGATATTTTCTAGGCTACCGTTTCTCTAATATCACAACTGATATCTTTGTTTACCAAGCATTGGCAGTGGAGCAGCAGTGTTGACGCTGGCGGAGTGGCCAGATAGCAAGCTTGTGCGATGGTTCATAACTGAGGACTTATTAGGTTACATGTGATCATGCTCTCAGTTTACGAAAGGTCGAGGCCACTATGTTGCAAAGCTCTGGTGAGCCAGCCACTTGATGATGATGTTGCTAAAACGAAAGTTAGGTTAGAAATACAAATGTAACAATACAAATGCAATGCAAAATAGTTAGTCCGATCTAAGCAGTATGATTGGTTGGTGGCAGTCATGAGTTTAGGCAAAAAAGAAACCTAAAAGAAGCAGTGTTACAGAAATCTTAATATGCAGTCTGACCCTTTTGGGGCTGAAATGATAGGACATTAAATGTCATTTAGCTGACCCTTTTATCCAAAGCGACTTACTTAAATACCACTGACCATGTATACGGGACTCATTTAGGTATCTTGCCCAAGGACACCTAGCCATGTTGAATCTAAGGGACAAACAACTGACTGTGATTGGTAGATGCCCATTTAGTACCTGAGCCACAGCTGCTTGAAAATATATAAGCACAACTGCAAATGAGTTATATTTAATTCATAATTTACTGCAATTGTGCTATATAAGTAGGATAACATTAGGCCTATAGTCATTAAAGCTATGCCCCATTATTAGAGTGCTTTATGATAGCAGGGTGTGGTGCAGGTTTTCATGTAATGGCCTGCAGATGAATTTGCGATGGACTTTCAATCCTTTCTGTACAATTTGTTTTATTTGCAACTCCTTCACATGCACATACAAAGCAGCTGTGAAAACCTGATACATGGAGTCACGGTGAATGCCCCTGCCTCTAACCTGCTGTAAAGACCCAAAGTAGTTCCTTGTACCATGCAGAGAAGTATGTGTTATTCAAGATGCCTCTTAATGGCCAATGTGACAAATAGCCATGCCAGACATGTCACATGGAGATGAGAAGTATGTGTTTGTGTCTGTGTTGGTTTGTGTTTCTGTGTGTGTGCGTGTCTAAAGAACTGCCTTGTGGTCGAAAAAATCAGTTACAGGTGTAACTTTCCTCACACTTAACTGACCTCACCACCCTCTGTGTCAACAAACCAGCATGCCGACAGTGATCAAAACACACTGTCATCATAATGTTTACCCATGCGTGAGTTATAATGTTATGTACAATTATGCACAGGGCTTGTTGACACGTTTTTTAAGAGCGTGGGAATATTTCATATCTCTATAACCATATCATTTTATACCATGTTTTTCTGGTAATTCCATAAACAAGTAGCTCATATTACATAATCACAGGGTAAAGCCTATTTTTGCCCTGTTTACTTTTCCCCTCTGACAACCAGCTGGCATTTTAGCGGTGGCTTATCCAAATCTTCACACACTATTATTGCTGTTGAAAGCAACTAATGTGTTGAACCCTTGCTGAATGTGGTAGTAAACCAAATGTTGTGTATATGGCAGTGTTTCCCACACCCCCCCCCCGGCAAGCCCCTTAACCTATTCGGGTGGCCCACGCATCCACCCCCCCCTCAAATAAGATGCGAGTTCATGGCTACTGTAGACCACGTTCTTGTTGCTCTGTGTTGCGTTGTTAATGAGTGAGACACACCGGAGTTCAGGATCTGTGGGGTTTATTATTATTTAATTTTCGCACCTATGCCACCAGTCATATTATTTCATCCAGTAGCTAGTTAATCTTTCACCAGAAAACCGTTGAAAATGGCTTTTATGATGTTCCGCGGGATTCGGCGGCTCAGCCTAAGGTCTCAGCCTCTTGTGCGCACGAGAATGTTACCGGTGCGCCAAGTAGGAAGAGGAGCGCACAGGAGACAACCGTTTGATTGCAGACTGTTATGTTTATGTGGGGAAATGGTGGTGCATACATTATTTGAGATATATTTCAAACTCGGACTTCATTTTAAGGACATGTCGGCCAGGGGTGGAGAGCTATTTGTTTAAGCACCGGATTGGCAAAACAGGAGAGTAAACCAGTCTGCCTTGATCTATGAATTAATGTCCGGGACTCTCACGATATCTGCTGCCCGCAGCTGTTTTATAGAAGGAAACCCTCCTTCACTTCATGACATGCAGCATCAGGAGGCAGCGGGACGTACTCGGTAAAGAGCTGTGCCTTTTTACGCACCGCCTTCGCTGTGTTTAACTTAATCAGAACAGCTTAAGAGTGACTGCAGGCTGCTACGTGTTAACCACACACACATCTACACACATCGAACTGCCCGATTACTCCCCCTTTTATTAGTTTTATGAAGGAGATGTCCAGTCAGTCACCAAGGCGCATGATGTGTGTGTGTGTATGTGCTCTGCTCAGCTCTGTGTGTTCGGTGTGTGCATATATGCAGCTGTTCCCAAAATAAATTAGTTTAATCTTAATCTCGATGTAGTGCTAAATGCTGTCGGGAGTGCACCGGAACGAACGACACTATCATAATATCTTCTGAAAACAAATGCCAGTGACACACACACACACACACACACACACACACACACACACACACACACACACACACACACACACACACACACCCTGGCGACCGGACATCTCCTTCATAATGCGCCTTCTCCTCGTTTTCCCAGCATTCACTGGATTATCCGTAAATCATACAAACAAAACCAAAACGTTGATTTATCTGTTTTCCCGTTTTGGTTTAAAAACTGAATAACGTCGGTTTTAAAACCAAAAAACAACACTAGTTCTTTTTTGAACTTTGTTAATATGTTTTGGATGCATATTGTTCTAGTATTTGTTCAGGCTGTTACATACAATTAGTCTCTGTTGCTACCTGCTGGTGGTGAGTAAATATTAAAATCAGTTAAAATTGACAACCGGTCCGCGATTTTTTTTTAATGCATCTACCGGTCCTTGGCACAATAAAGGTTGGGAACCCCTGCATTAGACCACCAAAATAAAAATAAATAAAAAATGGCATTGTTTTGTCTCAGGCCATGGTCACACTTTGACCAAAGAGAGTGAGTTATCCCTGGCCATTTTCTTTAAGAGTTCACTACTGCTGGTCAATTAGGATATCTGATGTTTAATTAGTCCAGATTTGTTCACCTTTATCAATTCATATTCAAAAGTGTTACTTGTTGGGATGGGTATCGAGAACCGGTACTAAGTCAGTACCGGTAGCCGATTGGACAGTATCGGTATACCGTTAAGCCGCTGGACAAACGGTGCTGCTATCGGTATTCTGGTTGGTTGGGAACCCTCATCCCGTGTGACGTATCCGGTTTGAGTACCCCTCTGATTGGCCACTGTGAATGCCACTCGTAATCTCTCCTAACAGCGCTCTTATTACTGTGAGACTCCCGGGGGCAGACGCAACATCTTGCAAGAAACAGCGTCTGGCTTCTTAAGATTTAGCAACCTATTAATGATGCATACCCACTTAACGGGAAGAAACTCAGCTAACTGACGACATTAACAATTTTTACCTACACGGAACAGAAGTCCAACACCAATAGTCTAAATCAACACTTAGCGAAACGGGCTAACGGGGCTAACGGCTACTTTAGCATATAACTGGCAAAAGCGATCTTTTCTAAGTCATGTTATCTGCACAAACGACATATCACATGAAAGCTGAGATTCCACAGATTCCATTGGTATAAGTCTCATCACTGTACACAACTCACTGAACTAGCAGCCAGGAAAGAGCAAGAAAACAACTTCACTTTACGTACCCATGATGATAATTATGTTGTGTTCAAGGGCATAAAAACGCTGCTGAAGGTTAATCCAATGTCTCTGTGTAACTTTAAAATGATTACTGATAATCCATCATTACAATTATAAATAATAAACGCAATAAAAGGATTATAATGGTTAGCCGACCAGAGCTTCCGGTTTAGGAGGTGCGCACGCAGCGTCTCGTTTTAACTGAATAATGGTCATGTTTAAGGCCCTGACACACCAAGCCGATTTCGGCCGTCGATAGATGTCTGGCCGTCGATGAGCGTCCTGTCGCCCTACTCAGATTGGTGTGTCCCGCACCGTTGTGTCTTTTCGGCCGTGCTGTCGGCAAAATAAATCACTCTGATTGGCTGTGCAGCTTAGCGAATCAGTGCATGAGAAGCGAAACGGAAGTGAGGTGCGCAAACAAACGATTAAGAAGGCACACACAGACGGCTATTATTTTTCATTTTCCAGTACCGCACTAAACCTGTTTTCGATTATGAGTCGTTATGTGAAACAGTCTGTGAAACAGTCTGTGATGGACGAGAGTGAAAATGGAACGCACGCTATTTGTTGTTTGTATATATCACGCAGTCTGTCTTCTGGTTGCCTCTTTTGAATGACGAATACACACTACCGCCGCTTGCTGGTAAGGAGAGTTATTGCCACTCACGCATGCGCAGTGGGTACGTGCTACTTGGCCGTCGACTGAAGTCTTTGCGGTGTGTTCCAGTGCGACTTTTTGGCCAAGACGCAGGAGACGTGAGGCGACACAACAATCGGGTCCGTCGGGACGTGTTCTTTGGTGTGTCAGGGCCTTTACATGGATTTATGAACTGCCCCTAATTACTGCCCCTAATTACTGCCCCCCTTCCAGAGACACACTGTCAAACACACTCATACCTGCTTGGTATGACATTAAGATAAGATAAGACTTTATTTATCCCGAAGGAAATTGTTGTGCCAGAATAACAAAATACAATAAACACAATAAACACAGCAGCACAGCAGCACAACAGCAAAACTACACTAAAAGTGCAGCAAAAAGAGCAATTAAACATCTACAGACAACATGAAACATAGAAACATAGAAACATAGATGGTCACACAATCAATGCAATTATTAGCAGTATTTAGTAGTTAGTAGTGCAATAAATAAAACGTAGTGGCAGTTACGTAATTGCACGTTATCATAGCATTATTAATAATAATATTGCACATAGTTATATAGTTATATAGCAGCGAGTGTATTGTAATGATAGTAATTATATTGATATGTATATTGCACATAGTGTTGGTGTGGAAGTTCTCAGTTCCCTTTACTTAAGGGTGAAGAGTTAAAGAGTTTGATTGCCACTGGGAGGAAAGACCTCCTGTGGCGCTGTGTGGTGGTCATCGGTGATCTCAGTCTGTGGCTGAAAGTGCTCCGGTAGGAAACCAGTGTGGCATTAAAAGTAACATTAAATAAAAATAAATTACAATAAAATGACTGTTTAATCTTCACATCTTCTAATCATATCTATAATTTTGAGCACCAAATTATTGAAAAGTATCGATAAGAGTATCGAAAGATACCGGTATCGATAAGCAGTATCGGTATCGATAAAATCCTAACGATACCCATCCCTAGTTACTTGTCTGATGATGGTGTTGCTTTATGATATGTCATGTTCTTAAACTTGACTGGCCTTTATGTAGCGGCTGTAGCAACTTGGAGATGGATTGTTTAAGTCTTCCCCTATAGTTGGAGATTGTTCTTACTGTGTATTTTTTTAATTTACCTGGATGTTACTATATAGGAGTGTAATAGCCATATTAGTAAGTTCATTGGTGTTGTTTATAAAAACTGAACCTGCTCTTAACCACTTGTCTCTATGATGCTGAGCTCTGAACTGCCTCGTATCCTCTTTTTTCTTCAATAGCACCAGCAGACGCTACTAAACCAGTTGAGGGAGGTCACGGGCACCACAGATGTTCAGCTGCTACAGCAGGCCCTGCAGGTAAAGCATGAACATGTACTCCTTGTTTTCTTGCTGAATTCTTTAGATAACAATAAGATATTTGCCTATAATACAGAGACTGCCACAGGGAACTGGCTATCAGTATGAGAGGATATAATGTGCCCTTTTAACACAAACTGCTGCAGTTAAATCGACTCACAAAAATCAACCACAATATGATTTGACAATTTCTAACTCGGCTATTTTAGACATTTGAAAAAAATCCAAATCTAATTATCTATTATTTGTATTAAAAGAATAAACATACAGGTCCTGTCATTGGAGTGCTACTAACTGGTTAAATATGCTAAGTGGTCACTAAATGACAAATGCTGGTCCGCCTTAAAAGTCAAGCCGTCTAAAGTGAGCCTCGGCCGTTGATGTCGCTAACGTTGAAGCTAACCCTGTCCCTTTTAATCCGATGGTGGCAAGCAAGACAGGGGAGCTTGGCTTGACTCCTGAGGAGTTGTACAAATGTTTTCACAGACATGTTTTCTGCTCCGCTCACAGCTATAAGGTTGATGCTAGGTGTTACAAACACTCTCTTTCATACGGCAAAAAGAGATGCTAGCGCAGCTCCTTAATGAGGCTAGTACCGCTCTTAGCCCCGCACAATTGGATGAAACTGTTGAAAGAGATGTTCCATGGGAATTTCTAAATAAAGGCATAAATTGATGATGATTTGTATCGATGTTTTCACTTTGCACCGATGCTATTGGACACCCTAATCGCTACTAAACAATACAGTTACACAGTTTTACATCGGATATGTATCAGAAAAAGTATTTGTTTCGGGTTTTTGCCCTCACTTCAACTATTGTCAGTTATCTTAATCAGCAGCCAGTCTTCAAGTCTAACCAAAGAAACTAAAGCTACAAAATATATGGTTATTGGGCTGCTACAGATTTAGTGGACTTTTCCTGCTCATCATTGTCATGTCTTCAAACTTGACACATCCACTGTTGCCGCAGGTAAGCAATGGAGACCTGGCTGAGGCTGTGGCCTTTCTGACGGAGAAGAACGCCAAGGTTCCTCAGCAGGATGAGACCACCTACTACCAGACGTCGCAGGTGGCCAGCGACAGATACATCAGCGTGGGCAGCCAGGCAGACACAAGTGAGCAGCTTACCTAAAGTTTAAGAGAGCCGTATAAGATTCCTGTATTTTAAATATTATGAACACTGTTTAATATTCCTTTTTAAGCCTTGTCAATAAGGTTTAAAGTATAAACTGTTATTGTAAAGTAGTTCCATATCCTGATGCCACCACGAGGTCATCTGCCCTGTCCTCTCATGGCCTCCTATCAAACGTTTCCAGATTGCCTCATTACCTTTATCAGGTTTCCTATTAGCATTTGGTTTGAATCCAAAATAGTTTGACATCAAATCCTCTGCCAGCGTCTTGTTGTTAACTTTCCACACACTCATCCCGCGATGAGTGAAATGTGACTCGTGTGACTCTGCTGCTGTATGGGGACACTTTCGGGTTATAAGTGTAGCGCCCAACTAGTATTTACATTCTCTACACACTCTCCTTTCCTCCTTCCTTCCTCATGTTGCCCCTTCACCCCCTTCACACCTAATGGAAATGTGGGACTACTTTTTTACTCCTAGTTGAAGAGATTTTTAGTAGTATGGTATAAAATCACACACACACACACACACACACACAATATATAGAGATATAGATAATATAGATATATATATATATATATATATAGATATATATATATAGTATATATATATATTATATATATATATATATACATATATATATATATATATATATATAATATATATATATTATATATTATATTATATATATATATATAATAAAATGTTTAGTAATGAGAAGGAAAGATCTGGACTAACAATTTTACATATTATCCACAAATGCAGCATTTATTAAAGCCCTGTTTACATTTACAGACACTGTGCAATTGTTGTATATTGCATCCATCGTCATCAGTAGCTGGTGGGTGGATCTGAAGGGATTTTGTATCCATTTGTTTTTTTCCGTTAAAATAGTAACAGACACACAAACCCACCAATTACGAGGCAGGGATGCTGTCTGCCTGCTTTCTCACTCACTGTGTAAGTCCCAGTCAGTCTCCATACTTCTGGGCAGTGATCACAAAGACATCAAAAGGAACCCAGAGTACACACGCCGCTGTGTCAGTTGAACCCAGAGGGTCAACGGAAATGTAAATGTAAAAGAGGGTTAATTGGATACTTATCTAAACTGTTTGAGTATAAACTATGGAGGTAGGATGCAAACCAAATCTCAGCTGGGGTGTCCGTTTTTGTGTGTCTTTTAAAATGTGCAGATGTGATTGACCTGACTGGGGATGATAAAGATGACCTGCAGAGGGCCATCGCCCTCAGCCTGGAGGAGTCCAGCCGGGCTTTCAGGGAGACGGGCATCACCGATGAGGAGCAGGCCATCAGCAGGTGGGTCAGCAGCATCAATGACTCATAACAATTTGCCAAGAAATTTGGAAATTGCACTCTGAACATCTTTGGACAGATGTTGTGCTTTTATTTTGTATCATTGGATTGGTCTAATTTGTTAATAAAATCCTTGTCAAATCCTTCTTTATACCTGATGCGTTTGCTGTAAACACTATAATGGATCGTATCTGGTCAAATAAGGCAGAAGAAATGTCTACCTCACACAGCTAGTGGTGTAGTGCTGCTCTTTTTAATGCCAACTGCGCTCTTCACTGCTATTTGCCTCATGCGAGTGACTTACATAAGTGTATGAATGAAAACAATGGTTTGTTTTCTCTATCGACTTTCTCTGTTATGTCACCGTTTAAAAAGACAAATGTCGCCCATGGCAGATCTTACCAGCTGTCACTAAATAACGTTAATTTTGCGAGTAACTTGTACGCAGGACAACATTACTTTTGGCTGTTGTCAGGTTCATGTGCTCTCTGCAGTCAGTATCTGCACTCGGCTAGATCTGTATGCAACATTGTTTGTGAGGTAAAAGAAGCATCACTCTAACACCATGTTCAACCATAAGTGTTTACTGTTCTATAGTCCCAACAACTCCAACATACTGATAAATCACATAAGAGGTCCCCCCGAAAAGTGGATTATTCAACAATTCAGTCAAAGAAGACTGATTTGACTGCTATTCTCAAAATCCAATCGTCGCATTGGCCCATGAATGTGGTTATGAAACAATATGTCTGATTTTACATAGTATCGCTTGATTTCTCCAAGTTATTATGATATATAGCATTTTGTTTACAATTCTTAATGTCTCTGCCAAAATGATATTGTGTTTTGATTTTTTTTCCTTCTATTAATACATGAAGCTTAAATTCAATGATTTGACAGTAGAAGATATAAAAAAAACTTGACCAATCAGATTTGACTGTCAACTCCTATTTGAAGACAACTCCCATCCCATAATATTTACATGTAACAAAAAAGTATTCCTGTCAAAGAGACAAATAGACTGTGTCTTTCCCTCTTGAAAGAAATGCAGTTTTGACATCAGGTCTTGCATATTTTGGACATTCCGAGACGAGGTTAGAGGTTTGAATAATCGTATAATGACTATTTGAAGTCACCACTTAAACCTCATATTTTTCCTTTCATTCACTGTTTAGGGTTTTTCTAATAGTGATGAAGAATTATTATATCACATAACTTAATAAGGGATAAAGTGCAGGAAATCACTCTACCACGATTGGGTTCAGCTTGAGCTTTCAGAGTTGGGGAAGAAAGTTCTTGCAATGGTCATTGAGTAGAAAAACAACATTCATTGCTTTTTTTAAATCTGTTAATCTTTTTAGAGTTTTGGAGGCCAGCATTGCGGAGAACAAGGCGAGTCTGAAGCGAACCCACACCGAAGTGTGGAGCGATTCCCCCAACCCGTACGACAGGAAGAGGGTGGACACCTGCTCCGTGGGGCTGAAGAATGTCGGCAATACCTGCTGGTTCAGTGCTGTCATTCAGGTGGACACACACACACACACGCACACACGCACGCACGCACACACACACGCACACACTCACGCACACACTCACTGATGGTCCAAGTCAAAGGCATTGATTTAAAGAGCCCTCTCAATGATCCATAGTGCATGAGACAAATGTCCAGTTTCACTTCTGCTAGTTAAAAGGAGCCTTTACTGGGTGCAAGCAAGGGGCTGTATTGAGTTTCTTTATTAATCATTAATTAATATGTCATGGGTGTAACATGAATCTAACCAACAAAATATCAACGTTTTGGATGATGCTTTGAAGCTTCCAACTATTCTGTACAGCTGTCCTTATATGAATTAGTTTCATATTGTGTTCACTGATTAGTACGACATTCAGTTTTCTGTCTATTGTTGGGGGTTACTGATATAATGTTGTGGCATTAAAATGACAACTGTGTCAGTCTGAAACTGACAGTGTCTGCTGGGTTAAGATAGGGCCTACAAATCAATAAATAACCCTTGTAGAGCAGCTCTATAGCCTTTTTTCTGATTGTGCTATAAAATCCCTTTGTTTTCACCATTTCCTCTTGTACTTTGCTTACTCACACAATTTTCAAGACTGATCGGGGTATTACCTTTTATATATTTCGTAGTAATGTATAAGAAAATTATCCAAATGGTAATGTGCTTGAAAATAATAGTCAATTTTAGCCCAGCTGTCACGACTTGTTTCTTGTATGCTGGATGAGTCAGTGGTAGAATGTGACCTGAGCTGGACTATGCCAGATGAACACTGGATACACCATCACATGGTGCCTGGCTGCTGTGTGTAATAAAACCCTTTGAGAAGAAGGCAGTGCTGCAGTAAACAACATTTTATTTCTCCAACAAAATGTAGAGAAAAGGTACCTAAGAAGTCAAGTATTGCATATAGCATGCATATCTAGGGTCAAGTAAAAGTGTGAATAATTATAGAACCGTATAGCAGTTTTTGCAGTTTTCTATCTTTTCACACAGTAGAATACCTATCTTTGTAAAATGTCCTAAAGCTGTATGTCTGTTGGTGATCAAGGCCTCTTTTCATTTAGGGGCTTACACTTTCTTTATCATTTGATGTTACTAACATGTCCTCAACTCTTCCCAACCTCAAGTCTCTGTTCAACCTGCTGGAGTTCCAGAGGCTGGTGCTCAACTACTCTCCCCCAGCACAAGTCCACGATCTGCCCCGCACCCAAAAGGTAAGAACCGCCCCAGGTCCTCAACAAAGGAAACTGAGAGTGAAAGTGTGGTGCTTTGTTAAGATTATTAGTTGAGTGTATTGGTTTTTGTGAGACGCCATTCAGGTCCTGCGTGATAATGACCTAGAATCCCAGCAGCTTGGCACGTTGTCTAGTAGTATCTAGTATGCAGGAATTCCAACCATTGGTAAAACGTTTGATGAAAACCTTGGTATTATTCCAACAGGACAGAAATGAACATGCAAAGAGAGTGTGTTCAGAAAATTCCTTGAGTTGATTCAATCAGATATAGTCACCACCCCATTGAGTAGCTATGAGTAGGTAAATGGTATAGAAAGCGATAGTTAATAAGGTTGGTCAGTTTACCCCAGGAGAATAATCACAATCATTTCCTATCTTCTGCTGCTCACCTCATAACAATAGCTAGTTACATAGCTCCCAAACCACACTACTCAATTGTAGTGTCAATTATGAAAAGACATTTATCTTTTAATTCTGTAGACTTCAAAAATGTGAAATATTTTGGAAAGAACAGAACTGTCCTTAATACTAATTGGTACATCTTAATTCAAGCCCACTTGAATAGAACACTAAATGATGATGTATTAGTCGGTCTCTCCGTGCTTCCCAAATTCCTCAGCCTGTCTGGGGAACTCCCTTCCTGAACAAACTGAAGATATCAATCTGTACTTTCAACAATACATCTGTTTGATGCTGCTGAACACATCATAAGTGTGGTAGCATTTGATCATATACATCTTTTTTAGTTTGAAAAGGCTACACTGACTAGAGTGTATTTGGATTCACTTCATAGTTGATTGTTTTACTGTGAGCAGGAGCACAGGAACCTGCCCTTCATGCAGGAGCTGAGGAACCTCTTCTCCCTCATGGTGGGCTCCAAGAGGAAATATGTGGATCCGTCACGAGCTGTGGAAATCCTCAAAGACGCCTTCAAGTCCAGTGAGGCGCAGCAGGTATGTCTCGTTCTGCCATAATCTGCTTTGCAAAATAACATTCACACAGTCCAATGAACACAACGTCATCAAAGAGTATGTTCTTGTCCCTACATGAGTATCTCCTACTGATGAAATCAAATTGAAAGCAAACATTTCACCCAAGACTGCACTAGCAGAAGGCTTTACATTGTATAACTTTTACAATACACAACTTGTCTTTACGAAAGTTAACCTATCATGCTTTTCGAGAGTTTCTCTCCCACACATTACATAGTGACATCACTATGTTACACTTTTGCTTCTATTGGCCAGCGCTCCAACATATTGTACGTCATAGACTAAGGGGCGGGACATATCTAATCGGTTGACCAATCCCAACAGAGCCGGCCAGCTAACCAATCAGAGCAGACTGGTCTCTGGTTTCAGACAGAGGGTGAAAAGAGGTGCTGCAGCACAGGCAGTATGAGAAAAATAAAGAGCTTTTTGAACATTAAAGCATGGAGACATGTCCCAGTAGAGACACTACATACTAATATGAACTTTAAAATGAGCATTACAGCGCAACCCCTTGGTATGGCTTCAAAGATAGATGTACAGTTAACTTGTGTCTTCTTACATTTAAGTTGTGTATTGTAAAATTAATATACATTGTATATATAAATATATATATCATCATAAACAAAATTGGTGTAAAAGGTTTTAACATTTACTGAAAATACAACATAGCAGAGTAAAATAATTCCACTGCACTTAAATCAAAGTAAAGCAACAGACCGGTTACGCTATGTTATTTTTTCACACAGTTAACGTGTCTTGTAAATGTCAATAGACAACATTTCTTAACTTATACAAAACAAATGAGATCCTTTCAGTATTCATATTTCTAAGACAAATCACTCCCGACGGCTGCTCCATTTCATTGCTGTTCTTCTGACTCAGCTGACACTTATCTCTTATCTATAACAATTAATGCTCAGACCCACCCCTCTGAACTATGCAATAAATAATATTGACTAGGAGTTAGCTGTTTGTGCATAGTTCCTATAATGTGATGCACATATGTGTTCTCCTTATGTAAGCATACACACAACAGCAGTTTCTGAGCGGAGGTCAGCCTTCTGCCCTCGATACTCATCATTCATGTCACTGCACTGTGTATGAGTCAGATAGGCTTTGACCTGAATTATCGGCTGCCATTGATGTCTATGAGATATGACCTCATGAAAGGCATGTTCCCCTTGACAAATCAGTCCACGAGTCATCTCAAACCTAAAGCTCAGTGTATATCAAAAGATGACCCACGCTACATTGGACTTTCCCATAGTTTGAATCTCTGACATCCATGTCCCAAATGCATTCCTGCATTTACTCATTGTGTATGTATGTCTGTATTTCCCTCAACAGCAGGATGTGAGCGAGTTCACCCACAAGCTGCTGGACTGGCTGGAGGACGCCTTCCAGATGAAGGCAGAAGAAGACAGGTAACCATTCTCTCTCTATCCAGAGGTCATTGTTTAAAGATTGGACAAAAAGTGGACAAATGTTTGCTGGTGGTGTAAGGCAGCACATTTAAATCAGTGTACATTTTTAACATGAAACTGTATCAAAGTTGCCACAACATTTTTTTTCTTTTAATCTTTGCTTTCAGGGAGGGTGAGAAGCCCAAAAACCCCATGGTGGAGCTTTTCTACGGTCGTTTCCTTGCTGTGGGTGTCCTGGAAGGTGAGATGAGCTGTTAAATTAAAACCAATAACAGAGAAAGTGAGGGGTAAATGAAAACCACAGAGAGCGAGTGTGTGTAAGCAGGGCTTGATTGCCGCAGCCAGAAAGCACGCAAGTTCTTGCCCCCAGTAATGAAAGGTGACCTTGTCTTAATGAGATGTAGGCCATGTAAAAGAGGAGAGCGGTTGCATTGATCGTGGAAGTCCTTGATGGCTGATTGACATTGTGCTTATTATGCATGACAATACTGGCCCAGAGCCACCAAAAGCTGGGCCAGTGGACTCTGTTGCTCAGAAATGACCTTAATGCCTCAGCTGCATGTCCCCTAGCAACTCCTCCCTTCCTTTGTTTCGGGCTTCTCATCAGCAGTTGATGCAGGGAGGACTGTGCAGCTGTTTGATGATGAGTGACTGCCAAACAAGTGAAATTAGCTTGGATGAAACAGGGGTAAACTGCTCATGTACTGGCATTTTCTTTTACACTCACGGCTTTCCAACTAACCTTTGATCTACATTAGAAATGTATGTGATGTAGGCCCTGTGTCCACATTGCGTCTTTTCTGGCCGAAGAAAAGCTCCAACCACTTTTTTTTTAAGGTTCTATGATTCTTGACACCTCATCACCACATTTATAAGACAAACTAGCTTCGCCCCCTTGCCTTTTAGCGATACATTAAGACTACTTTATATATGTTTCACCATGAGCGAATACGCTTGCTCTCACACTTTGCTTGAATGGGTTAGGGGGAGCTTGTCCCTGCACAAGGGCCTGCCCAGTTGATCAGCGCAAGCAATCATCTTCTCTGTATTTGTTATGATGGTTTATGTGCTGGCACTCAGAATAAGGAGCTATGTGGACACCGGCACTACTTGCTCTTTCTCTCTCACAGGGTGATCACACATTTACCTTTTATGGATAACCCTTACACGTTTTAACGCATCAGTTGTACTATGAATGCTCATCTGTTAACTACTATTGTACGTGTGTAATTCCACAGGAAAAAAGTTTGAAAACACAGAGATGTTTGGGCAGTACCCGCTGCAGGTGAACGGCTTCAAGGATCTGCACGAGTGTCTGGAGGCCGCGATGATCGAGGGCGAGATCGAGTCCCTGCACTCTGCAGAGAACTCAGCCAGATCTGGACAAGAGGTCAGTGCCACCAGTTGTTTCCATTTGTAATATTGGAGAACAGTTTGTGCCCCATGGAAATGATTCCTTAATTCCATGGTGGCACAACACCAGGTCAAAGACTTAGGTGTCAGTAGATAGGAGAAATAAGAGCAAACGATCCGGTCTTTTTCTTTTGGGATTATGCGGTGGATCCTCTTCAAAGGGCAGACCTCCTTGACCTTCTGTCACACCTTTGCTATTCTGGATCTGATCTCTGTTTAGCTGTAGTCTTACCAACAGTCTTACCAACACTGTCCCAGAGTAGCTGGAAGCAGCTTGTAACCAGGCCAGTACACAGATCAGTACACAGATCAGTAAAGCACCCACTGCAGCCATGACAATGAAGGAAGGGAGCATTAGAGACACTCAAACCGATACAGGGCTTTCCAAAGGAACGTGCTTGCACAACATGAATTATTGTACTATATTATACTCACAATTTGTTCATTTCATTTGATTTTAAAATGGAAAATAGAGTGAGCTCATGTCAATTAAATGGTTTGAACTGGTTCTAAATGTGTAGAACCCTGAGCACTTTATTGGTATTTGAAGGAATCAGTGACCGAGTTTTAGTGGATTAGGGCATATGTTGGTTTATTTTAGGATTCAATTTAAGCCTACTGTATGTAAATTGTTTAAAAAAAGATTATTAATGTTTTCTTTATTTTGTTCACCTATTGGCACCAGTGCTAGTTATAATAAATGTTCGCATCGACCACTAATAAAGAGTTTAGGGACGTCACTAAACCACAAGGTACCACTGGATGTGTGATAAGTGAATGTTTAAGGAATTCTTCTCTAAAGGGAAAAGGTCTGACCAAACTTTATATGTTTACACAACATTATTAAAACTCAATATCCACGTTATATTTTCTTTCAGCACTGGTTCACAGAGCTCCCTCCCGTGTTGACCTTTGAACTGTCAAGGTTTGAGTTCAACCAAGCTCTGGGACGACCTGAGAAGATCCACAACAAGCTGGAGTTCCCCTCCATGCTCTACATGGACAGGTACGAGGAGTTACGGTATTTGTCTCTGCAGTAAATAACAATTAATCCCAAGTAAGTAAATGATGAACACCTCGGATGTGTTTTTGTTTTGTCAGGTACATGGACAGGAACAGGGAGACAACCAGGATCAAGAGGGAGGAGATCAGGAGGCTGAAAGAGCATCTGACTCTTCTGCAACAGCGGCTGGAGAGGTACTTTTCTCCAGTGTTCAACAATAACTGTTTTAGCAAAGGTCAACAAAGACGGTAATGGAGAGTAATTTTGTGCTCTGAGCCTGCCTTCTCTTTGCCTGCCTTTAAGTCCTTTAGGGGATAATATGAGGCGGTCCCCCCGTCTGGATCCTCTTGGGGTTATTACGCTGCTATTTTCTAAATAAATCAATAATTTGACACAACACGTCGATTTAAACATGATTCTAATGATTTAGAAATGATTGTATTCCTATCACTAAGAAAACATAGGCATTCTACTGTGTAGAAAGGGTTAAAGTGCAGCTGCAGAAATGAATCTTAAAATGACGGCAGCCTGTATCAAGGTGTCTGTAACTGTCGAAGTCTGTTCACATTTTCTTTTCCATTAACCAGTCTTTAAACACTGCCACAGCCCATACCTGTTACTAGTGTCACTTACTGTCTTCTACTCCTACCGTTAGTGTTTACTTCCTGTCGTCGTCTGCTGATTTCTCTGTCGTCCAGCGCTCTGTCTTTTAAACTCTCCTTCTTTTGCTCTGTTTTCTCGTTCTTCTCTTTTTTTCACTGGGGACAGTTTAGTCACCATGAATCCAAACAACCTGCTCGCCACAAATACAAAAATGCATATTCAAATATTTATTTATGGTGTTTTTGGATAGAGAAATACGTATGTGCTCTTTTGGCCAAAACTGATGTACATATTCCCTTGAATAGAGTGTCCTTTGCAACGTTTTGATTACAAGAAAGATCAGACCAGTTGTCCAAATTGACAACGTGTAGGAAGTCATTATTTCTCCCTCTCTGGGCTCACCTGCATCTCTTTGACACTCACCGTGACTCTCTGTTCCCTCTCAGGTATCTGAGTTATGGCTCAGGCCCCAAGAGGTTTCCTCTGGCAGATGTCCTCCAGTATGCCATGGAGTTTGCCTCCAGTAAGCCTGTGTGCACCTCCCCAGTGGAAGACATTGACACATCAGCTCCCCCTGGTGGTACAACAGGACAACAGCTGCCCTCACAAAGGCAGGTTCCATAAAAGATATCCTGCTGTATGTTATCAGTGCTTTCCCTCCTTCCACCACTCGCTGTGTTTCAGGAGCAGGAAGCATGGGGGTGCAAAGTCAAGCAATGGGAAAAATCAGTGGAAATGAATTCCACAAGCATCTCATATTCTCTTTTACTAGTAATCATCAGAATGAGAATCAAAATCGGAATTGTATTTAGTGTATAATGGTCTGTATATAAACACAGTTGGAGGAATTAGATTGTAAAGAAGAAGCAAACTACTTTAAAATAAAAAGCAAGTATACAGATAATATGAAAAATGTATATGAAAAATTACATATGTGCATTATATTACAATTGATAGAGCTGTGTAATTTTAAAAGAGATAATAAGGAACAGAAATGAGCAAAATATAAAGTAGAATTTTATATTTTTATTTATATATCGTTTTGTAATCGCGCTTTGAATGTTCCTAATATTATGTTGTTATAGTTTAGCTTTAAACAAAAAAACAAACAACCAATTCTCAAATGTTCCTATATAAAATATTAATATTTATTTATTATTCACACCGGAGTACTTTTCCCAGAAATAGTTCCGATAGTTCCTGGGATGTTGCGTTCACACCAAAAATATCTTTTTTTTCGGGAACCTTTTCACCCCTTTTTAGTCCCTGCTAGAGAGCAGGGACTTTCCTGGGGAGAAAAAGGTTCCAATTTCTGATTGGCTGGGCGAATTGCAAACCACGCCCCGTAATACTCTGAAAAGCTTTTGTGAAGCCGCCATTTTATTTCCTCGCATTATTAGCATTAGCATTAGCCCAGCGCACCAACGGAGAGAGACTAACTTATGGCAACACAAAATAAAACATGGGATCGGTGGAGTGATGAGGAGGTGTCGGCGTTCTGGCGATTTACCCGGGGCTTCGGGTGGCGATTTACTGCCACCCAAAGTCCTGGACTCCGGGGGGCTCCGGGACTTTGGGTGGCAGTATACGCTGTGAAGTAAACCCAAAGCAGCAGAAGAAGAAGAAGTGACGTCAGCGGCTTCATTTGCGTAATCCTCCCTCAGGGACTTATTCCGGTGTGAACGCGATTTACTAGATAGTTCCGGGGAAATAAAAGTTCCGGGAACTATTCCTGGGAAAAGTACTTGGTGTGAAAGCGCCTATTGGGGCCGAAAGTTTTAGAAGCCGATAAGATCAACAATCACAGGGTCTAAAATTAGAGCCACTTACACAATACCCCAACACACCATCCTGCTATTGGCAGACCCTTTATAATTATGCTATTTAAATTGTTTCTGACATACCCCTACTTTCTCCCTGCAGCACAACCGAGCAGGACTCCTTGCCGGCTGCAGAGAGCTCAGGCCCTGCCTCAGCTCCCACCACAGCTCCCACTGCAGCCCAGCAGCACAGGATACCCATCCATAAGCCCTTTACCCAGTCCCGGTTACCCCCCGACCTCCCCATGCACCCTGCTCCAAGGCACATCTCGGATGAAGAGCTGAGGGTGCTCGAGGGCTGCTTGCACCGTTGGAGGAGTGAAGTGGAGAATGACACTCGTGGTAGGTCCTTCATCATGAATGACCTGCACCTCTGTTAAAGCAGAACGCATCTTACTAAGATATGTTATGTTATTTTCTTCCTCCCAGATCTGCAGGGCAGCATAAACAGAATCCACAGAACTGTTGAGCTAATGTACTCTGACAAATCAATGATGCAGGTGAGCAGCACTTTTCTATAATCAGCCATATTCGCAATATACAGTATATCCCCATCAACTGCTTGTTATCAGCTTTTTTAATGTCCTGTCTCTTGTTCCAGGTTCCATACCGGCTCCATGCAGTGCTTGTCCATGAAGGCCAGGCCAATGCAGGCCACTACTGGGCTTACATCTACGACCCCCATCAGCGCTGCTGGATGAAGTACAACGACATCTCCGTCACCAAGTCTTCCTGGGAGGAGCTGGTCAGGGACTCGTTTGGAGGCTACCGCAACGCCAGTGCCTACTGTCTGATGTACATCAACGACAAGAAGCCCTTCCTCATAGAAGGTACACAGGGACCACGCTTTAGCCAGCAGTGGGGATCATTTGGAGGCTATCTTTGTTTGCCTCTGTTCATAATTCAGATATTATTGTGACATAAACAGATACAGATATTAGCTTTGTATTAGACCCCGGTAATTATACAGCCTTACCCCTGAGCTTTTTGTTCATTTAACACTTATCTAATATATCACTTTAAAAAAAGTTTTGAAGCTGAAGCCATATCTCCTCTTGGACAGTTTGTAGTGATTTGGCCACTTAAGACCTGCTGTTGAAGTGAAAATGACAAAATACAACAAGAACAATCGAGTTCTTTTTTTTCTATCATTGTCTTTCAACATTGTAAGACACACAGGAGACAACAAGAAACATACATGTCAACAATGTCAAAAATAATAATAAAATTCAAAAGATATCAACTGACATGTAAGCACTTTGAATAGTTACCGTTGTAACATTATTAACACAAATACAGCAATACATTTAAATATATACAAAAATGATATAATTTATGAATAAATAAATAAAGAGCATAGGTTTGAGTTTAAAGTCGCTCGATAACAAAGTTTTTCTGGCTCTCCAAAATCGAGGTTCTTTCCGGGCCAACAACCAGGCTGAGTATGCTAAACTAGTGAGAGAATCGCTGGCAACTACAACACAATGGACATATTTGACCGTGATTTAATTGTAATACACGTTTCAAAATGATGCCGAAGTAACAACATACTGATACCGGTTAGTAAAAACCATGAATTAATGCTTTGACAAGTCTGCAGACAGACTGCAGGCGAAAAACCTTTTAAAATGCGTGTTTTCTGAATGGAGATCGGCTAAGCTAACGCAGTATATGCTCCGACCGTCCACACTCACAACAACGGCCTATACAGACATAAATAAAGCAGCGACTGTATTCACCATGACACAGGCAGTCTGTGGTTTGTACTTGTTTAACTTTTGTCTAGTTTCTGAACAGATATGAGGAGCTGTGAGCTCTGAGTGCTAACAGCTAACGGCTGGTGTTGGTTTTGTGGTTCGCATTGAAGATGATGTCACGGCTCCGCCTACACTGCGTTACTATAGTTACTACCCCAGCTATTAAACTGTAATGGAAGCGCAGCATAAAGTGAGCCAGGCCTAACGAGGCCTAGCCATACCGTACTAAGCCGTGCGGGGCCCTGCAGTGGAAAAGTGGCCATTAGAGTATAAGCCCAGAAGTCATGTTTCTGAGCAGACCGCATTACAACCATTGTCTCTTTGTGTTGTTTGTGCAGAGGAGTTTGATAAAGAAACGGGACAGATCCTCAGCGGCATGGACAAGCTGCCTCCTGACCTGAAGCAGTATGTGAAGGGGGACAACGAGATGTTTGAGAAGGAGATCCTGGAGTGGGACACCCTGCAGGCCCGCAAGGCCCAGCAGGAGAAGCTGGCCCTAGCCGCCGCCGCCGCCGCAGCAGCAGCAGCAGCTTCCAGCACCTCCTCCCCTCAGCCCATGAGTATCGAGTCCAGCCCTCCAGACAACTCAGGTCAGGGTCATGAGTCTCAACAGACACAGCAGAGTAAGTCATTGAGAATCAATACTTGGTAGGAGAATAAACACAGTAAAAAGAATGTGTTCCCTGTAGTTATTAAAGGATATGACATAAATATGACTTTACAGCTCTACTGCTCTTGCTCTTTGCTAGTTTATCAGTTTTTAGGCAATGTGGTGTAATTTTAGCGCTCCCCGTCAGGTATATCGCCAAGTGGGTTTACACATACAAGGAATTTGCTTTGGTGTAAACAGGTGCATACATAAACCTAGTAAGAGGAATTGCATTTATTTATTTTTATCAGAAATGTAACTATTATACAATTATTACAAAAATAAGAGGAAATGTTTGCAACAAAAATAATAGAAATACAAAAAAGGTAAGTACAATAAACATATGACAAATTATGCTGAAAAATTAAATAAAAGATGGTATCATTGTGCCCAAAAATATACAGAGTAATGGGCAAGGTTTGCAGTATTATGTATGAGGAGTATATCCGAAAATAGATATTTAGATGATTGTGGAAAATATTGTTCCATGTCTTATATTAATGCAAATCTTTGTTTGCTCTGTGACTCAGCGAAGTATCAGAGAAAGAGAACATGGGTACTGCAATTTATTCATGTTTAGTGTCGCAAATGAAAAACGAATTGTTGCCTATTAGAGATAACATACCAGCAATCTTTTAGGATTAGGGTTGGGTATTGTTTGGATTTTAACTATTCCGGTTCTGATCGGTTCTTGATTTCTGTTCTTTGAGAGGGTAAAAATAAATCCCATTCCCAATTTAAATTGAAGAAAAATATATTTATGACACAGTCCGGGGATGTGAGGACAGCGAGGACACATACAGGGAGGCTTAATGAAGGAAATGGCGGTCAATATGAACAACATTGGAGCTAAAACGCTTATTAACCTTCATTATGTGTTAGAGAAAGAACATAAGATAGGTTGATACAAATAAAGCTGTTAAAAGCCACTGTGTGTTGAAAGAGAGAGAAAAGAAACGTTTACAAATAAAACTTTGAAAGCCCCAAGAACCATGCGTTTCTCTTATTGTGTGGTTTTCCTCTATCAGCGCCCCAGCAGGACCCAGAGTACATGGAGCAGCCGTCCCCCACCAACGACTCCAAGCAGCTGCAGGAGGACACCGAGAGGGCCATCTCCAGGGCCGCGTCCGAGCAGGAGGCCAGGAGCCCCGAAGCTTTGTTAAACGCTGTATGTAACACATGTAGTGTAACACTCTCACTCACTCTTTAATGTCACTTTGTTCATTTTGGTTACCAAAACTGCATGGAGTCATCTTTGTTTCTAAGTAGGAGTAATTATTTACCCAGGGTCCTATTTCATTGATCAAATCAAGTGATATTTTTGTCTCCTGGCTGTCATATTCAAGAAAAAAAACAGTTGAGAAATTAACTTATTTTGTGTATCCCTAATCACATTGTAACCCCACTAACATTGCCTACTTCTTTATTTGCATTTCAGCTTATAGTTTAGGTGTTCTGACCTCACTGTTTTTGGTTCGGCCTCACAGCTCTCATAATGACGAAGAGGGTTCAGCCTCACAGCTCTCATAATGACGAAGAGGGTTCGGCCTCACAGCTCTCATAATGACGAAGAGGGCAGCTGTTTTTCCAGAAAAGAAACTACAACAGACAAACCGACTCAGTGACGAGCCAAAAAAACACACCAAACCAAAGCTTAAAAGTAATGAGTACTGTGCATAGACAGGTTGATCAGAACAAGACATCGGCCCTCACTGGCCAACGAATAATAAGTTCCAAATCTTTCACTCTCTGCTGAGCTGCTGTGAGAGATAGTATCACAAAGAGGACATTTCTTATTATACTATAATAACTTTAGGAATTGTAATGCATTTTAGAACAGAATGACAACTAAGGAGTTTTCCACCATTGCTGTCCACTGTTGTGCCCATTGAGTCTGAGTATTGAAAGTGATTTCATCCATCAGGCAGTATGTTTGATGGGTACTGCTCTTCCTATATTCCACAGTGGTTTCTCCTCGAGTCTTATCAAGCTAAAATTAGAATAAAGACACATGTGAGAGCTTTATATGCCAATTCTTAAAAGGGACATTTGTATGGTTAAGCTAAAGTTTGTAGTTCTTTTGGTGAAAGTAATAATACAATACCAAAACATGTAAAGTAAGAGAAAATAAATGTCTTACAAATACAGATGAACATTACAATTTACTAAACCATATATTTGTAATGTTAACCAAAAACTATGAACGTCGGTTTTTTATTTTAGAAATAAATATGATTGGTAAACTGAACTAATGAAAGTCAATATTATAATTGGTGAGTACAGACATTTGTGTAATCTGCTATCAAAATAGGAGGACACTTTTTTTTGTTTTTTAAATGTTCATCTCCTTTCCATCAGTCCTCTGTTTCATGTGTCCCATTCTCTCTACAGTCTTCCCCCCCTCCCTCCTCTCCTCAGCCTGATGCCCATATGAGCCTCCCCTCCTCCCCCCCTTCTGACCTGGTCACGGAGGAGGAATCCCCCTGCCAGCGCACGGTAGAGGTGGCCATTCCTAATGTGGGGACCTTTGTCATTGAGACAGAGGAGGGGGGGTACGATGACGAGGTAGCGCTCGCCCAGACAAACCTTCTCTCCCTTATTGTGCTGGGGTTTCTGTGCCTGTTTGATATGTGGAGTGAGAGCGGCTGAAAGGGTTTGCACTCCTGCTTCTGAAACCAGGTTGGCTGCGAAATGCTACGCACTAAGACTGACTTCTTTCACCCCTTTTCCACACAGCCCCAACATTGGTTCAACTGTAGCAACAACAATCTGCTCGGATGCTGGGGGGGGCATCTACAGTTCATGGCGAGAGTAGAACGTTGTTGCAGAAGCAGTAGCACAGACATTGAGTGGCTAGAACGCAACCACACATTATTTATAGAAAAGTCCAGAACATTAACCAGGCATATGTGTGAGATATACATTTTTGACCATACTTTAAACAACTAACCGTTTGTGATCATTGTCGTGGCTACAAGTACCTACTCATTCAAAGCATTTATGGTGAATATGTCATACATCTGATTGGTTAATGTTCCGTGACTTGGGAGTTTTATCTAATGTTTGATCGCATTACTCCAGAGCACCCCAAAAATAATACAAGTACTAATTAGTTTGTTGGCTCTAAATTCATTCATTCAGTCATTGATTAGTCAGACTGGCTTTGGTGGCTAGGCTAACGCCACCCATGTAATATGAGAGAAATGTATACAATCCTTTATTGTATGTTTTTTCACATGACAGAGCAATGTTGCCAAACATTGTCAATTAAGACTGAAAAAAATATACATTTACGGGGAAATATGCATCAGGGGACACTCTACTACTACCACACATGGGGACACAATAGGCTGGTGAAACACGCTGGAAACAATCTATCACTCCAGCAGTTGGATAATGCTGCTAAATCATAGTGGAGTAGCATTAGCTACATCACTCTGAAGAATAGAATAAACTTGGAGTCATGCTTGTAATGCAATCTAGCTCTGCAAGTTTAATAATAACATGAGCGTAGTCCACTGTTGTTGTTATTTTGAGGGATATTTACCCTGGCGTCATCCTGAGGTAAACAGTGACGCCAGGTGTGACGTGGCTCTAACAGGGCTCTGGTCGGACGAAAAGCAAACTGGTTCTTAAGTAAATTGCAAGTTGGACAAACCACAAACCAAACGAGCCCTCGCAAGGAACTAGAATATAACTAATTTCAGTGGAAGAAGGGTATTTGTTGGCCTTCCTGCTTTTTCTGTAGTTTGAAAATTCTCTTCTTGAGCTAGTCTGCATCTTGGCACAAAGGCAGTTTGACCTTTAGCAGAAGGCTTCGCTCTCCTTCTTCACACAATTCCCTCTTAAGTGAAAAGATACGAGAGCACAGCCTGGTGTTTTGATCTGAACATGCTGTTATATGTTACCTACCTTTCACCTGCAGATCAAGTGGAATGCCCCCACAGAAGATGTTTTATAGTTTGCAAAGCTTCCTTCAGGGGTGGATGGTGGTGGGTCAGCTGCTGCTCAGTATTCCGCACTGTTCCCTCTCTGTCACACACAGCTGCCTTATGGCTGCCTTGGTTTCCACACATTATCCTCGTGAGGATTGCGCATCGTGCCATTGAATTGTCTGGCTCGGTCCCTCACAGATGTGTCACTCTAACCAATGCATGGTCTGCTGACTGATGCCTGGCATGCACTCACTCTGGTGTGCTTCATGGTGGTTGATTTGACTCCGTGCGTCACAAGGACTCATTGTGTTGTTTGACATGCTTCCTGCTTCTCGGGCAGGCGATGATGACCCCCAAGATGCAGGGTATAATTATGGCCATTGGCAAATCCAGCAGCGTGTTTGAAGAGAGTGGCCCTGAGGCGGCCTTTTTTAAGGTACACACCATCTTTCCTTCACTTTCCTCATTCCACACTAAATCACTCCATCTACATCCTTTTTATGTGTCTCTTTTTCTTGGTCTTACCCTTTGTACGTTCTTCTGGTCGATAAAAAGTTGGAGTTAAAATTGCAAATACAGTATTTATCAGTGAAATAGTTATTTCACCTCAAAATCACATGAGGCTGTCGTTTTAGGGGAAAGCTGCACAACCTCTCTTTGCAGCACATAACATTATTAAAATCAGACAAATCCAAAACATCTTATTTTCCCCAAATCGTTTTAACTTTCTGATCATTAAGACCCCATTTACACGCAAACGCATACGAAAGCGCTGGAGACACTGTAGTACATATGCCGGGCCTGTAAGTGGCGCCACAAAATACACCAAAAGCAGCGAAGAAGACCCCCGAGCATGGTTGCCATGGTTGCCCTTCTGTTTATGCCCCGCGGTGGATTTAGCAACATGTAGTTCATGTAATTCTCCATGTCCACTTGTTGCTGATGGTTGTGGTAGAGGAGCTGTAGATTTTGGGAAAAGAGATATATCTCTAGGGGCGAAACAAGTCAATATGCAAAGATATGCTTCTGATAATGATTCTTTAACACAATTACTCATTCACTGCATAGGGTTTTGTACCTTTTTGAAGTAAAATTCATCAATCTTGTGCATTTTTATAGCAAAACTAAGATCAATAAAGAACTCCATGCTCTAATAAACATTTGAATCATGAATGCATTGTCTGTTTAAATGAATGATGGTTAAGTAGGATACCAACCACGCTGAAGAACCCTGGAATAATGTCCACGCTCTAAATACCCAGGGAACCTATCACTTTTCCACAGAGGGAATAATGCCATTATGATTGCACATGGTGTTGACAATGACTTGGTTGTGCATTTGTAGAATCTATTTGACAGCAATCTCTTAAAATACTAATGTTTTGCTGAGAAATTAGCCGGAAAGCTGTGTTTTAACTTCAAAAAATCAACTCCATGTTATCTGTCCGACAGTTTTATAATCTGGCATAAACAGTACATTTTAAATTCAACGAAAAACTCTTTGCAAGTTACTTCTAAGTACCCGACTCAAGAGGACCTGAGTAAGTAGATGTCCTTAAGTCCGTACTGCTTTGACCTTAGTCTTAGTTTTGAACTGTGACTCGTCCCCTCTTGTTTCCGGGCAGGCCATAAAGCTGGAGTATGCTCGTCTCCTGAGATTCGCCCAGGAGGACACCCCCCCTGAGAACGACTACCGTATACAGCACATCATCGTCTACTTCATCCAGAACCAGGCGCCAAAGAAGATTCTGGAGAGGACTCTGCTCACACAGTTTGCTGACAGGAACCTGGCCTTCGATGAGAGGTACACTGTGCAGCTCAGCATTCATATGTTAATAACACTAAAACTCCACATGATATATTCTAATAAACATGTGTTACATAATGTAACTTTAACATCTTATGTTTATATGAATATTTTGTATTTTTTATATGATTTTTTTACTGCACATTATTACTTTAAATGTAAAAATACATGTTATTTGTATTTAAAGGTAGGGTAGGTAAGTTTGAGAAACCAGCTCGAGATCGCTAGAATTTGAAAATACACAACCGGAGAAAATCTGCCACTTCCTTACAGAGCCCCTCCTCCAACACACACGAACGTGCACATGACCAATGAGGGCACGAGATAAGTTTGTGCACAGATGGAAGGCTGACAGGCAGGTAGGCCATCCAGTTATTTTAGCCGGGCCGGCTAAAATGATTGGTCGTGCTTTTTACAGTACTACGGCTTCCACAGATGACATTTTTTATGGATTTTTTGTCAAAGCACTTAAGATATTCATTGCTATCGGGATGTTAAGAGCATTCCAGGGAATATAACAAAAAGTGTATCTCGAGCCGGTTTCTCAAACTTACCTACCCTACCTTTAACTATTGGATATTAAATAATATTAAAATAACTTATTTAAATATACACATTTTATCTTTTTACTACAAGTTCTTAGTTTAACTTCCTATGATTATAAAAATATCTTTATTTAATTACATTTGAAATGCACATTCTTACTTTAACTACCTATGTTTATATACATATTTTATTAGATTTCTTAATCTTTTGTTCGATATTTTACTTTAAGTTTTTATGTTTTAAAAAAACTTTTTTTTACATATTTGTACTTTTAGTTCTTTTTTTTTAGTATTGTTTTGTTGCACATTCTTACCTTAACTTTTGTTTTGAATATTTGTATTCTATTTTTCAAATCTGTTTTTATTGAATTCATTCCAAAATAGCAACTTTCACAAAACACAATTTTCCCTAGGATAAATAAAGAAAATATTCTGATTCTGATACACTCAATGAAAACTGGCTGTTCAAACAAATATGGAACACAGGAAACCAGGAAAAGTGCTATATAAATAACATGTATTGTTATTTGTATTATTATTATTATTCCCTTTTTTAAGCCCCTTGATAAATCATGAAAGAGCATTAAAATGAAACGAACCTCTCAGAATGGCCTGCAGAGGGCAGCAGAGAGCTTCCCTCTGACACATTTACTGTCAGCACAAACTGAGCAAGTCCTCTCTGCTCGTATGCCCTCTTCTTATATTCAAAAACAAATCTTCGGAGACATGCTCAACAATGAGAAATATTAGGATTCCCTCCCGATTAACATTGTGATCTTCATGTCATTATGGTTTGTAATACTATCTCTTAAAACTTTTAAACTACGCTTGTTAGCCTCGATCCATATTCATGAGTAGAAAATTGATTTCTCCCTCCTCCGCTATTTTGAGCCAGATAATTAGATTTATGTGTGCATGTGGCCTCAATAGGAGCCTCGGGAGGAGTGTTTCACTTCTCCTCTCAGCAGTAAAGAGTGATTCATTAGGCCTCGGGCAGGGAGGACTGTTTCATCATGGAGTACCTCACAATGACTCATCATCTCATCCCTGTCCCCCCCCACAGATGTAAGAGCATAATGAATGTGGCACGTGCAAAACTGGACCTCATTAAGCCCGAGGAGGTCAACATGGATGAATATGAGGTGAGCAGCATTGTCTTCTGAGTCATTTGACACTACCTTTAATAATGCAGTGTTCTATATTAGCTCCAGTTAATGCATGGATGCTTCACCTTGTATTTAAGTGACTTCTGTTTTTCTTTAACAGATGTGGCATCAGGCCTACCGGAATTTCCGTGAGACAACCATCTCCATGATGACTGGCTTGGAGCTCTTTCAGAAGACAAAGTATGACGACACCTTTCCAGTGCTTCTGCTCATATCTAATATTAGAAACCATGAACTCAATCTGCAACTATTTTGAGAGAGCTTTAAGTCAAATGAGTTCAGTGTTACACATAAGAAGTGCAACCCTTTTTAATGATACTCTTCTCAGTTCATTTCCCATCTGTAGCAGCCAATAAATGTTAAATGTCACCTGCAGAGGGCAGCAGCTCACAGTCTGTGCACGCTTTATAGTTGTGCAATGAGTTCATCGAGTTCATTCCAGAGGTAAAACAAGTACTTAGGTCCTGTGCTTAAGTCAAAGTAGAAATACCAGAATGTAGAAGTGTAGAAAAACTCATGCAAAAATGGTTCTTAAGTAAAAGTATTAGCATCAACATATACTGTACTTAAACCTCAAAAAGGGCTTGTTATGCAGAATGGCTTATTTGAAAATAGAAGGGTGGTCATAGTGTGAGAAGGTATTATTTAAGTCTTCATTAATGTGTTTATTATATTTTATATCATTAATGCAAAGTACCTAAAGAGTGGAGTAAAAGTACAATATTAAGAGTAGAAGTATTAAGTAGCAATACATTTAAACACTCAAGTAAAGTAAAAATACCTCAAGAATGTACTGAGGCACAGTCCACTGCTGTTAACTCCTTCTGTGAAATGGGTTCCCTTCAAAAGTTCTCTCTGCAGCTTTGATAGTATTTCATCTGAATATATGATCTCTTTTTCTTTTCAGTTACATAGACGCTCTGATGTATCTGATTTACGCGTACCAGTACAACAAGGAGCTTCTGTCTAAAGGGCTTTACAGAGGGCACGACGAAGAGCTCCTGGGTCACTACCGTCGCCAGTGTTTGCTGGTGAGGCAATGAACCAGTCACAATTGACTTCATACAAATTCTCAACAGAGTGGCGCTGGAATGAGTCGTAAGAACCTGGAATTTAGTTAGCATTTTGGTTCCCTCATCTCTTAGTCATTAGTTTTTGAATGTGTTTCTGGTTAAATGCCTGAAATAAGGACTGTGGTTATAACAAGCTTAGGTGATTTTAACGTTTTGTTCTACGACATAATATATGTCAATAAATACCCCACTGGTGAATGTATGAAGCTTTTACGTTTCTTAAAACAGCGGTTGCTAACACGTAACTAAATGAGACTACTAGACGTCATCACACGGAACATTACCCGCCTTTAGCTTAGCGGTGGTGACGTGAAGTCATGTGACTGTGCTGTTAGCGGTTAGCTTTTTACTTCTGGAGATTCCATTTACACTTTTTTGTCGAGGCGATGCTAACTTCCGGAGCAGCCCATACAAAATAAGTCATCCCTGCATCACTATGCTACATTGAAACAAGTGGATATTTATCATTTTTACCTTGTAACCGTGATCGCAAAGTGGGCATTACCTCTGTTGTGTCTTCGCTGTGATCTCCTCTTCCTCTCTTTCAAACTTCCTCTGTTAAAGTGACTCAGCAAAACACAGGCAGACTTTTCCCTTCGATACTGAGCTGCTGGACTATAATCAAATTGCTTTCCTGAGATATTGCTTTGGCTTGCTTGCAGGCCACTTTTTCATCTGATACTGGCAGATGAAAATCCTTTCAGTGTTGTGATGGGAGCCTCTTTTCATTTCACCCCCCAGCTCCAGGCTGTGGTGTTATTGGTTAGGGCTGTGGATATTTTGGTCTGATCAGCCACTCACTTTAGCAGCATTCTCCCTACTGCACTCGCTAACCTTACACCAGCATTGTGCTCGTAATGTAATCATTGGAGTGGGAGAGGGGGGGGGGGCATTGAGTGTAAACACATTAGTATGAGACACAAGCACGTCCTCGGCTAACCTCAGCTCATCTCAGATCTCAGGCCAGATCTGTGGCGCGGTTCTCTCAGCTGTTTACCTCCAGCTCTTGTTTTAACTAAAAACATGGCTAACATTGACACAGTTAATGTTCTTGGATGATTCTCAAATCCAGCCTCGCAGTCCCCCGATTCAGAACTCCAGAAACACATGGTTAGTGTGAGAGGAGGTCAGGGGGTTTGTCTGTGACGGCAAGTAGGTTCTGGCCCAGAACAGGAAGAAAGTCAACTCCGTACCCACTAAATCATGTCTGTGGCAGAACATTAGCTCTCTAGTATTCATCAGTGGAACAAATTGCAAACTTCACTAGAAAGTAACAATTGGGAAATGCATGTAATGAAAATAGTAAAAGTGAAAACATAAGATTGTTGTTTGTAATAAAAACAGTACCACACATTAGATACAAAATTAATACATATATTGGACAAATATGAAGTCAGTTAAGCCATATATTGTCTTTTGCTGGCAGGGTGCTGGACAGAGCCTCCTCCGAAGGTCTCTTTTTTATTATTTCTATCAGGACACTATCTTGACATAAATATTACAGTTTTTAAAGCAAGACTATTGCCCCCTTGCTTTTAACTATCGATTTGATAGACATTATATTTGTTTGGAGTGAAGAGGACAATCTGTGTATGCCAGTAAATGTCACGCACTCACAAAAACGGTTAAGTGCTCAGAAAAAATTGGTGCCGCGCTTTGTTTCGAGGGGGCCACATGTGCTCACCCCTCATCGAAAACAATAAAAAAAGACGCTGGGGCTCAGAAAAAGGCGCTTTGTGAACACAGGGCCTAAAGACTTCAAAGATACTTCATGTTAGGGTCTAGATCTGAGGTCTTCAAACCGCTATGGGAAGAACTGCAGATCCAAAATATGGAGCATGATCCAAGTGAGACATAACTACACTGTAGCTGTGATTATGACAATAAAGCCTTTGAATGTACTCGACAATTGTATAATTTTCTGTATATTTCTTGTGCAGAAACTGAACGAGCAGGCGGCGGCCATGTTTGAGTCTGGAGAAGAGGCAGAGGTGAACACGGGTCTGGGCATCATGAACGAGCTGGTGGTGCCCTGCATCCCTCTGCTGCTCATCCACGACACGGAGAGGGACCTGCTGGCCGTGGAGGACATGAGGAACCGCTGGTGCTCCTACCTGGGCCAGGAGATGGAGTGTGAGTCCCAGGAGGAGGAGGAGGAGGAGAGAGGAAGGAGGAAGGATTGGGTCACTAGTACATTCCACCTGCCAAAGGTCATCATAATCAGGCCACTGCTCAGTTCATTTATGAGGAAAGGCTTTTCCATTGGGGAAATCTCAATGTTTTATCTAGAAGAACACATGGAGACAAGTCTAAAAATGAGGTGAATCCAGAGCTTCCTAGCCATGAGTAAATGCTCCGTCAGAGAAAGTCGGAGCCCCAAAACTCTAACCTTTAAGAGATCACAAGACATGCTGGCAGTAATGAAACAAGTAGTCAGGTCTTTAACTTCATTTAAGTAAAAATTGCACTACTAAAGCATAAAGACACTCTGTTACAAGTAAAAGTCTTGCATTCAAAACATGTAATAAGTTAAAGTACATAGTACAGAAGTATGAGCATCAAAAAGTACATTTTAGAATAATATTTTTAATATTTATTGATAATAAGCTGGGACGCATTAATGTGTTCATCACTTAGAGCTGTTAAAAGTGGAGCTCATAATATTTTATTGTACCGCTGCAATGTAGATGAACCTATAATAATCTGAATCTGTAAAGTAACTAGTAAATAAAGCCATCTTAAAACTGTAGTGCAGTAAACATTACAATATTTCCCTCCGAGTAGAAAAAACAAAGCAACCTAAAATGGAAATACACAAGAAAAGTAGAAGTACCTCACATTTGTAATCAATGTACTTAAGTAAATGTAAAAGAAACATTTGAAATTGTTTATTAGTTTGCATGTTTTGTCATGTGATGGAGTCGTTACTCAAAAAAAGTCATATATTACATATTACTTATTACTTTAAAAAAAAGTAATATATTACTTTACTTCGTTACTCTCTACATAAAGTTACTCGTTACTTTACTCGTTACTTTACTCGCTGGGCCGCCCCTCCCAACAGGCAGATCACGCAGACTGCAGAGGGTGCTTCATTTTGTGGAGGGAGCCTCATCTGAAGCGCAAATGCGCCGCACCTACAGTGTAAGCACGCCACAGTTTTCGCCGCTGCGAGGCTCCACTAGCCCCCCGTCCACGCTCGCGACACAGAGGGCCTTATCATATAACTTTGCGTGTTTGCTGTTTACTCGTTACTTTACTCAACATCCTCACTCTGGATTCGGAGGTCCTCCTTAGCTATTAGCTTCACGTTAGCATGTTGTCTTTGCAGGTGCTAGTTGAGGTTTGACGTTGTGTTTGCAGCAGTGGATGAAAGCTTCTGTCCTGGGGCCTCATTTATAACGCCTTGCGTAGGATTGACGTAGGAAGGTTGCTTACGTAGTACAAAGCACAAAAATAGGTACATACATTTTCCGCCATTTTCCGATTCACAAAACATTGCATACCGGCGAGGGAAGTGCGTACGGCACTCCCTACGCCTGTTTCCCTTGATAAATCACAATCGACTCGTAACGCCCATATTTGCCTATAAATAGTCAAAGAAACACCCATTCATTCATTCATTTTGACTGACTGCATGAAGAAGATCGCAGGAAATTACGATAGAACAGCTAAAAAAGACATCTCACACCGTGTCAGATTTTGGTTATTGTGGGGAGGTGGAGATAAATCATATTGTTTGGTGGATGCAGTTTGAACCAGAGTAGCAGCATGGAGGTCGGATCGTCACCAAAATAAATAAATAAGTGGTCCGAAAAAAATTAATGACAAAAAAAATACACATAACCTTCCTCAGGCAGTGTGTTTGTCCCGGGGACAGGAGACCCCCCCTTGATGAGAAACTGTAAGAAATGATGGGGGAATCCCTCCGGAGTGTAGTCATGACGACTGGATCTGAATTATTTTTGTTGTATTTGGTGGTTTGTGTTCCAGCTGTCGATCAGCAACTATATATACATAATCCACCAGTTAAAGGAAATACAACTAATGGATTGTGTTATATTAGCTGTACAATTTACCACATATGGTGTTCTTAGTTTCCATACCTCCTGTGTTTTACGAGCGACTTATCAAGTCTTGGCAAACGGCATAAAACACGATTAAACGTGATAGTATATAAAACCATGCTCGTATCTACAACCTATAGAAATGCAAAACGGCGTCAGTTTAGACGTAATTCTGTCCTCCTGCTTACCGCATCATTTATGAGAAAACATTTCATAACATTAACACAACATATTCGAGGTGGTTTTAAATAACATATCCGTATTTATTTATTTCTCCAAGTTATGTTTTTGTGTGCACTGAGGAGTCTCAAACAGGCGTTTGTTTAATCATTTTAAGATTGGCTTTAATCAATGTTTGAAAATGAATTCTTCATATTTGATAAATGAGAGGTAACATTTTATTTATGGTATTATTTCCACATATTTCTCTCCATTCTTCCTTCTGCCAACGGTGTCGCAGTTTCTCGTCCCTCCCGTGTGTGTGCTTAGTGCGTACGCATGGGTTAGAGTTTGCGTGGAGGACCGCACATTTTCCCGTCAAGTTAGTATTTTATAAATCGCAAACATTGCGTAGAAACTGGCGTACGCCATTTTTTGAGCGTATATCCCTTTATAAATGAGGCCCCTGGACACAGTTTGCACCTCACCGTCACATTCCTGTCCTTTCTTCGGACGAACTCAAAATAATGGGCATACCTCCACCCCTCAAAAGTTATCGCTGTTGACTCAGCCATGTTTATGCACTGCATGTGGACGCGCAAGTCGCGCAAATGTTAGGTAAATATAAACCTGCGGCGGAAATCCCTCTTGTTTGTCAAAGGGAGATCTAGTAATTCTGTATGTTAGTAGGCTAACTGTAGTGTGATTACTGATTTTATAAAAGTAACGAAGTAACGCGTGTCGGGCAATGTTAGTAACTGTAGTGTGATTACTGAATTATAAAAGTAACGCGTTACATTACTCCGTTACCGACAAAAGCAATATTATTACAGTAACGCGTTTCAATGTTACACATGATCAGAGTTGGTTACTACGCGTTACACCCAACTCTGATCATGTGTAACATTGAAACATCCAACATGCTAACATTTAAAGGCCTCAACAGATGTGCCGATCACCTGGACAAGGAATAATATAAAGTAAATGGCATGGATGCAAATTTGCTCAATTCTTTGTGCTGTCAGACAGAATCAAATCATTTCTTGGTGGAGAAACGGGATTGTAGAAGACTCAGCGTTTTGTCAGTCTGCTGCAGTATCAGCCCTCAGAGTGCTCCTGGCCTTCGTTCAGGAAAAGTTTTATCATCCAGACCCTTTTGTTAGTTACAATCTGTTCCTCTGGTGGAACATGTTTTCATACTACTTGTGGTATCACTCTGAAAATATTTATCCTGCGACTTCTGTGTTTAGTAATCAGCACATTGTTATGTCAGACTGTTATCATTGACTTCCTCTCTGTGTGTTTCCTCTTCCTGCTGGTAGCCAACCTCCAGGAACGCTTGACCGACTTCCTCCCCAAGTTGCTGGACTGTTCCACGGAGATCAAAAGCTTCCACGACCCCCCCAAGCTGCCCAGCTTCTCCACCCTGGAGCTGAGTGAGCGCTTCAGCCGCGTCATGGCCGCCATGGGCCGAGTGCCCACCGAGGGGAGATGAGCGCGGGGGGGCCTGGCCGGACACCTCCCTCGTCACAGGCACACATCCATGGACCTCTCTTAACCCATGCCTTCCTTCTAAAGCCAGGGGTCTCTCGCTTCTAGCTCTTATTCCTCTGTTACTCTTTTGCTGCTACAGGTTTTATCATTATAAATATGATTTCCTCTTTATTTTAAGCAAAACACACAGGAAGGAGGATGGACTGTTGAAGAAAGGAGATGGAGGAACAGTGGCAGTGCAGTGGTTGAAAGCCAAGCAAATTGTGCTTCAGCTTTGAGAAAAACAAACGTAAACAAGGGTTTTTCATAGTTATTATTGTTGTTGTTGCAGTTTGATTCCAGCTTTCCCCACCGCACTCACAGCCCTTTCTAAAGCCCCCTCCTCTCCCCACTGCTCTGCCTCCAGTTTGGTACAGTATTAACACGTTTTGTTTTACTTTTCTAAGGAAGTAAGGAAGAGAGCCTTCAGATTTATCAGCGGCTCAGGGGACCTCCCAGGGGTCTCATGTGTTTGTGGACTGAGCCAGAATGAGATGTTTTCAGTGCTGTGGTAGACAGCCATGGACATCCTGTGGCTTGTAAATCGAGAGAATAAAGTTTTATTTATGGCCCTTTTAGGCCAAATAAACTAATGTTTTTGCCTGATGTTGATTTGCCTTTTGTTTGCACAACAATAACTTACACTCACATTATTTGCATTATTATTATTGACAATGCACATCATTTTTAGAAATGAATCATCACTTTTCATTGGTGACACTAAGGTGATGGAGTTGCTGGCAGTTGATTCTAAATTCAGGTTTATCAGCTGCTATTTGCAGCTAATTAGAAGCCGACTGTCGTTAATGTGGAGATACAAACTCAAAGCATGCAACATGTGGCCAAAGTAATAGGAATACTTATTTTAGCTGCTTTGGAGTTTGTTTGTTTTTTAAATTGTGCAATTCTGAACTCATTTATTGGAACAAGTAACCCAAGGGATAACAGAAGGAAGCACCTTTTGAGGAGCCCTCTTTATAACTGCTCAAATGTTTAAATTGCTGTATATTTAACTCCAAGCTTTAAATAGGAACTTTGACAACAAATCACTATGGAAGAATTCTATGCAGCATTTTTTCCAGTACAAGGCACAGCTTTGGTGAAATCACAAGCTGGTCAGAGCTCTAATTTTGGATCAGTTATGCAAAAGATTTCATAATCATTTTGATCTACAAGTACACTAATGGCGCATTTCCACTACACGGCCTCACTCGGTATGGCTAGGCCTGGTTAGGACTGGCTCACTTTATGGCGCATTTCCATTACAGTTTAGGAACTGGGGTAGTATCTATAGTAACGCAGTGTAGGCGGAGCCGTGACGTCATCTTCAATGAGAGCCCCAGAAAAAAAAAATCAGCCGTTAGCTGTTAGCACTCAGAGCTCACAGCTCCTCATATCTGTTCAGAAACTAGACAAAAGTTAAACAAGTACAAACCACAGACTGCCTGTGTCATGGCGAATACAGTCGCTGCTTTATTTATGTCTGTAGGCCGTTGTTGTGAGTGTGGACGGTCGGAGCATATACTGCGTTAGCTTAGCCAATCTCCATTCAGAAAACACGCATTTTAAAAGGTTTTTCTGCAGTCTGCAGACTTGTCAAAGCATTAATTCATGGTTTTTACTAACCGGTATCAGTATGCTGTTACTTCGGCATCATTTTGAAACGTGTATTACAATTAAATCACGGTCAAATATGTTCATCTTGTTGTAGTTGTAGCCCCCTTGCCAGCGCTCCTCTCTCTAGTTTAGCATACTCAGCCCGACTCAGCCCTGTTTGTTGGCCTCGATAGAACCACAATTTTCTCGGGCCAGAAAAGACGTGAAAAAGTGGCCCCGGGCCGGGCCGGGCCGGGCCGGTACTAGGCCTAGTGGAAGCGCAACCAAAAACGGGCACGGCACGACACGGCACGCTTAAAGCGAGCTCCGCGCTGTAGTGGAACTGCGCCATTATAGTCCAGGGGGGAGAGGGGAGAGAGTTCAGCCTCCTGACAGCCTGGTGTAAAAAACTGTTCTTTAGTCAGGTGGTGCTCGACCTCCCTGAAGGCAGGAGGGTGAAGAGGCAGGTGGAGGGATGGGCAGGGTCACCAGCAATGCTGAGATGCTTATGTCTACAGACCCGATAATTTTACGTCAAAATGACAGACAATGAAAAAGTCACGCCACCACTGCTTGGGAGTGAGAAACGAGGTGATATTTGGGCCCATTTTCGCTACAATGAGGTGAGTGTGCTGTAATCTTCCGGGTGTATTGTCGTTTGGCTTTCCGGATGCCACGGGTTAGGTCGGCCCTGGCTGCTCTGAGAACAGCCCTCTCTGAAGGTGATGTTGCGGCCCTCAGCAGCCTGTGGACCTCTTCTGTCAGCCATGGCTTCTGGTTGGCCCTGATGGTGATGGATCTGGTGTGGGTCACATCCTCAATGCATTTGGTGATGTAGCCTGTAACAGTTTCTGTATATTCCTGGATGTTGGTGGTGTTGTTGTACGCAAGACCGTTCCAAGTTCACACTGCTAGCAGTTTGCAGCGGTTGCATGAATAGAAAGCAGCAGAGGCCATTCTTCACACAGCCATTCTGACCACATTTAACATATTTGTTTGTTTGGGTCTCAACTGAATATTTAATTAACAAGCACGTCTTTAGACCCGGGTTAGAGAATAGCTGATAAATAAAGGGTTTCAAATGGCTGCCTGTTCACTTAGCACTTAATGGTTCCTTCAGGGAGACCTGTCCTTGTTGGGTTGTGTTTTATGGTCAGATGAAAGTTGTGCAGGGAGAAAATGCCATCTGGGCTCTGTGCCAGGGGCTGGTGCCTCACACCAGGATGTGATGAGAAACTTGGTGGGAGAAGGGGTCTGAGGTGAGGAGGGGCTGCCTTTCAACGAGCCACTTCCATGGAGATGCAGCTGGGCCAAACAATACTTCCATCAGGGGACAAACAAAAGGTGAGGGGGCTGTCTGACTAGCTCATTACTGGAAGCCCAGCACCAACAAACTGCTGAGATCAGCTCTTTTGGGCCACCAGTGAGGGCCCCGCTAATCTGCTTGTGGTGTTAATGAGAGATGTTGAGAATAAATCCTCTCTCATGGGATTGGAAGTGTTGTTGCTGTTTGCTCTGTTTCCTGGGAAATAAACACATCACTGAAAACAGCAGGCTGTAGATTGTATGCGATTTTCATTTTTGACTAAGACCTCAAAACTGGGCATGATTTCTGTCACTTGCCTTTTTTGTTTAAACACAAGTTTTAATAGTATAATATCCTCAAAATTACAAAATTAAGTAAGGTTTTGTTGAGGCTGAACTGGAATTTCCTACATCAAAAAGTCACTTAAATGCCTCGCAGTTATTTTAGTTGGCGGGGGCCAGCACAACAGATACTGCTAGCCTTTTGTTGAAAGACAACACATTTGATTGGTAATAAGCATTAGTGACAGATTCATCAGCCAATCAGATTTTGATGTTCAATGACAGTACGCCCCCTGGGCCTAGCAGCGTGTCCTGAGCTACCCTAAACTTCTGTCATGAACTTCTTTCGTATCCAGAGTGAAACGAATATGACTGCCGCTGCCACTGCTGAACAAGATCTTGTTGCCAGTCTACTGAAAAAGCCTTTTTCAAGACATCCTTTGGAGAAAAATGCGAAAACACCCACACTGGATGCATTAACAAAGGCTGGCAAAGGTTTTGTGCGCCACTTCAAAGAATGCAACTATGAGTGCTAATCAGCCTTCACCGAGCACATCAGGCTATTTTGCTTGCCATGTTTATTGTTTAATACCAGTAAAGGGACATGGAATGATTCTGGCTTTGACAGTCTGAATAGCTTCACCAAAGCTCCAAGCGCCATATGATGTCAGTGGTACACTTAAAAACCTTCGGTGAATGTCGGGTGGATTTCCAGCTGGATGAGCAGAGGAAGAGGGAGATCAGCATCCACAATGAGAGGGTCAGATGGAACCGAGACATCCTGAAGCACCTTAACAGGCGCTTTCACACCGGAGTACTTTTCCCAGGAATAATACCGATAGTTCCTGGGATTTTGCGTTCATACCAAAAAGATCTGGAACTAGAACTTGTTTTGCGTACCTTTTCACCCCTTTTTAGTCCCTGGACTGTCCTGGGGAGAAAAAGGTTCCAATTTCTGATTGGCTGGGCGAATTGCAAACCACGGCCCGTAAAATTCTGAAAAGTTTTTATGAAGCCACCATTTTATTTGCTCGCATTAGCATTAGCATTAGCATTAGCCCATCGCACCAACGGAGAGAGACTAACTTATGGCAACACAAAAGAAAACATGGGAGCGGTGGAGTGATGAGGAGGTGTCGGCGCTTCTGGCGATTTACTCGGAAGGCTTCACTGAAGCCAGTCCCCAACTCTGGGGACTTCCGGCCGGGGACTTCGGGTGGCAGTATACGCCGTGAAGTTGTTTGCGGCCTGCCAGTAAACCCAAAGCAGAAGAAGAAGAAGTGACGTCAGCGGCTTCCTCAGGGACTTATTATGGTGTGAACGCGATTTACTAGATAGTTCCAGGAAATAAAAGTTCCGGGGGAAAGTTCCGGGAACTATTCCTGGGAAAAGTACTTGGTGTGAAAGCGCCTATTGACTGTGTTCTCTTTTTGGGACAACAAGAATTATCTTTCAGAGGACACGATGAATCCAGAGATTCGCTAAATAGAGGAAATGACATGGAGTTGTTAACGCTGTTGGCTGAGCATGATGCCGACTTGCGTAACCATCTTGACACAGCCACAGTTTTTACAGGAACTTCAGGAAAAATTCAAAATGATCTAATAAATGCAGTGTCCGAGGTATTAAATTATCAAATCAAAGAAGAGATTTAAAAAAAACAAAGTTTGTAGCGGTTATGTTCGACGAGACGACTGACTTCAGTAACACTGCGCAGCTCTTATATGTAATCAGGTACGTGACTGAAATGGGGGTTATGGAGAGATTTTTAAAGTTTGAGGATGTTACAGACAAAAAAAGGGCACAGGATCTAGCATGGTTGGTTCTGGATTTGCTTGAGAACTACAACTGTAAATCAAAATGAGTGGCTCAAGGCTAAGATAAGATAAGATGGTACTTTATTGATCCTAATTTGGGAAATTGTTTTTGTTGCAGCAGCATAAAAGACAACGCATTTGACAATAAAACAAGTGCGTTAGAAATAAACAAGAAAAGAAAATAGAAAATATACATTTTTGACAAGATATTATATATACAAATATATATATACATAAATATATGACATATGGAACATTAATTATAAAATATTGAACAGATTATATATGTGTAAAATATACAACGTGGTTTTATTACAAGAGAAACTATGGAGCAGAGAGTTCTCTTCCAGCCAGAGGTGATTTATTGTACAGTGTTATTGCAGTGGGCAGGAATGTTTTCCTGTATCTGTCCTTGTGGCAGCGGAGCTGCAGCAGTCTGTTGGAGAAGGAGCTCCGTTGACTGTCCAGCTGCAGGTGGAGAGGATGGGTGGGGTTATCCATGATGGACAACAGCCTGTTCAGTGTCCTCCTCCTCCACAGCTTCAAAGGGGTCCAGCTTGATGCCGATGACAGATCCAGCTTTCCTGATCCGTTTATTGAACCTGCT